ATATCCCTCACAATTATTTATTGCAATCTTCTGCGCAACCTCGCTCTAAATTGGTAAGAAAAGGTGCTCGGTGGAAGTGTTTAAAGGCAGATGCTGGGCGCTCGTGGAGCGGGGGGGCGGATTCGGCTACTGTATGCACCTTGCCGTTGCTGTGGCAACGCAACATCCAAAGCGGAGCACGCGCGCGTTGTGGCCGCCGCATGCGTTCTGTACCTCATATGCACACCTACACAAACACATAAAGTGTGAAGCTGGAGATTCTAATGCTTTACTAGGCCTGTAGGCAGAAGAACAGCAGTCTTTCTACCTTAGAGCGCATCGATTGATTGACATGTGCTGTGTGTTCTGATGTGACATGCATGAAATATGGTCTCGTCTGCGCCATTGCTCTTCAAACAAGTAATTGCCCTTGGGTATATTTACATACATGTTACGCATTTGCATATTAACATTTAGTTAAATAGTGATTCGCTAAATAATTTACTAGCTTTTATATTCATTTTAGGGGTGACACGGTGATGCAGTGGGTATCGCTGTCGCCTCACAGAAAGATGATCCCTTGTTTGAGCCCCGGCTGGGTCAGTTGGCGTTTCTGTGTGGAGTTTGCATGTTCTCCCCGTCTTCATGTGGGTTTCCTCCCAGTGCACCGGTTTCCCCCACGAGTCAAGTTGAATTAAATAAGCTAAATTGGCAATAGTATATGTGTGGGTGTGAATGTGAGAGTGTGTGGGTTTTTCCCCAGTGCTGTGTTGTGGCTTGAAGGGCATCCACTGCGTAAAAAATGTGCTGGATAAGTTGGCGGTTTATTCTGCTGTGACGACTGAAACTTAAAATTAAGTGTGACCCAAAATTCTCTCCAAGTATAACAAAGTATATCACAATATTCAGTTGAAGTCAGAATTATTAGCCCCCTGTCTATTTTTCCCTCAATTTCTGTTTAACGGAGAGATTTTTTTTCAGCAAATTTCTAAACTGCTCTATTTCTATTTTTAAACTGTTTTTATTCTAGCCTAAATAAAAACAAAAAAGACTTTCTCCAGAAGGAAAAAAATGTTATCAGACATACTGTGAAAATTTCCTTGCTTTGTTAAACTTCATCTTCAACTGTATGTTGCAGAAAAACAAAATATCGCAATGTCAGATTTTTTCAATATCATGCAGTTCTACCTGGAATCTGGAATAGTTGGCAGTTCATTCATCTGTGGCGACCACTGATAAATAAGGGACTAAGCCAAAAAAAAAAAAAAAAGTTCATTCATTCATTTTCTTGCTCGACTTTGTCCCATTATTAATCAGGGGTCGCCACAGCACAATGAACCGCCAACTATTTCAGATTCCAGCTAGGGCTGCATGATATTGGAAAAATCTGACATTGGGATATTTTGTTTTTCTATATTGCGGTATGCTTTGTTATACTTGGAGAGAATTTTGGGTCACTTTATTTTACATTTCAGTTCTCATTCTTAGCAAACTATTTCGATTTTTGTTTCAATAAAAGCACAGATAAATGCAGCAAAGCAAAGATAAAAGGGAAATAAACAGTGCATGCATTATGGTTGTGTATATGTAAATGTAACAATTACACTGCAGTCAACTCAACATCACATATTTTTTGCGATGTGACTATTGCGGATGCACATATTGTGGTATTAATGTTGAAACGATATATCGTTCAGCTCTAATTCCAGCAGAGTTATGCAACGGATGCCCTTCCAGCTGCAACCCAGAACTGGGAAACAGCTATACACTCTCACATTCACACACACATTCATAAACTACGGCCAATTTAGTTCATCCAGTTCACTTGTAGCGCATGTCCTTGGGGGGGGAAACCAGACAAAGGACTCGAACCAGTGATCTTCTGGCTGTGAGGGGACAATGCTAACCACTGAGCCACCCAAAATCATTTGTATACAATTTTTATTTGTTTAAACCCAAAATTAGTCAAATATGAACAGGCTTAACTGTTGTGTTAAAACATTTAACCCAAGAGCTAGGATTGTTAATGTTTGACCATTTTTGACCAAACAACCCAGCATTATTTAGAGTGCATTCAAATATTTTAATGAACAAAACCTTAATACTGATTATACTACTTGACTGTTGAATACTTGATTCAGATTGGTTAATGAATGTCCTGAGGTGTGAAATGAAGTGCTTGTGCACACCCACATTTCACAGCTCCTAATTTCAGAAGTATTTTTTTGCATTGATTTTTTTTTCACGTAGGGATATTTAAAAGGTCTTCTTAAAATCATTAAATGCCATAAACCAAACCAACCAGCTAGGAGTTGATTCACGTTACAAATTTTGATTTGAGGCAGTGTATGAAAATCAAACAAAAAGACAAAGATACAAATGACTTCAAAGAGGCGAAGGGAGGGAGAGGGAGATCGACTCCACTACATCATTAGCAGTGCTTTATGGGAGTGGGCACAGCTAAAGGTTTCTTTGAGTGCAAGTTGCTCGATAAAGCTCTCTGATGGTTATTATTTCTGCACAACAACATGGATAGTGTAGCCTCTTTTGTGCAAATTCTACTAATAAACATGATTTTTTTAAAAGAAGTTGCCATTATGTCAAATATGGTATAAGCTAATTTGGTAATGATTGCCTTAAGGTTTACCTGTGGCTTGTTTTAAAGGTTTTAAATTCAACAAAGCGTCTATGGGAAGCCTAATCCTGTCAGTGTTTGACAGTTTTATTTTGTATAATGTAAACTACACACACTAATGTCTTAAACATTAATATATAGTGAAATATTAGAAGCATACAAGTTTTTTTTTAAAATAGCAATATTGCTTCACTTTAATATTGTTTTCCTTCCATTGTTTCCTTTCCTTTCTTTCCTTCTTTTTTTTATTATTATTATTATTATTTTAGCTAAATAACATTGCTTAGGACAGATCTGACCAGCTCTGCAGTAGTTCTATGCTTCTGTTGAACCTATTTTTTTCCTTAAATTATTATTATTTTAAAACCACTAGCTTTAACATAATTTGCACAGGAAAAAAAAAATTAATTTCTATACAGGAAAATTATTCAGTCAGAGAGTCAGGCAAAGTTTGCCAAGAGGCATCACCACCTTATGTGTGTATTATTTTCTAATAATCTATCAGTCCCTTGTTAAGTATTTAACATTAAATTACTTACATTTCAAATGTTTTAAACTAAGTTTTCTGCCTGAAGTAGAAAGCATTGCCAAAATCATGTCCATGTCAGAGGAGCACTTCACCATTACCAAGCAACAACCTTCCATGCTCACCACAGGTAATTACTGTCATTTCTGGATGACAACATGAGGCTTTCATGCCTTCAGTTTAGACTCTGTATTATGCCTTTCAATGGCAACACTACCAACACAGCTTAGGTGGTGCATGCCATGTGATACAAATCTGAGGTCTCATACAATTCCCTGTGTATACAGTAGATGGAGGTTCAAGTTAAATGAGGATTTGAATGCTTTGTATTAGTTATGATTTTGTAACTACTGCAACCTCCAACCCTGTTAAAAGTTTAAATCGTGATATGAAAAGAAGTCTGTCTGAAAGTGTGGTTGACGTAATAATTTCAGCTTAGTTTAGCAACCTTGTTTAGACAACATTAAGTTTTTTCATCAACTTTAGGCCTTACTTGTCAATTATTTTGGCACGTTCAAAGCAAGAAGTGCCTCAGAATGTGGCATGTTGCAAGAACTGAGAGTTGTGTGAGTGTGAATTTGCAAAATGTTCACAATTTCTCAGTTGTCAGCATCAGCTTTCACAGTCCAAAATGAACATAGAGAAAAGAGACAAGAAAGACCAGAGGAAAAGATTTTAGTCACCGAATGGAACCGATAATTTTAGTAAGGAATTTTTATATTAGTGTGTTGAACTTATTGGAAAATAATGCACGCTCAAGTTGGTGATGTGGTCAAGGCATGAAGCAAAGTGGCCATTACACCATGGGTGTGCATTATTTTCTAATAATTCAAGGAACCAGTGTCGATTAATACAGTTAAGCCATTAAAGACAATTTTTCAGTCGTATTTCAAGTCAGTTGTCAGGTTTTTGTTCTCTAACTACTGCTGTGCAAAATCAGAATCAAGGATTCAAAAGGATCCTTTAGTTAAATGCAAACTCAGAGCTTTTTTCTTTCCTTTTTTATGATTAACAGGTAGGCATACTGAATATATGATTGCTATGGGTTGGTCTGATTTTAGATGCTGAATGATCAGCCTCGCTTATTGTGTAACTGTAAACTTTCAGTAAACTTGATCTTCAATCAAGCAATAAATAAAACAATAAATATATATACATACATACATACATACATACATACATACATACATACATACACACACACACACACACACACACACACACACACATACATTTATATATATATATATATATATATATATATATATATATATATATATATATATATATATATATATATATATATATATATATATATATAGTTTCTATGTTTTTTTTTTTCAAAAAATTTTTTTAAATGTTGCTTTAAAAAATTCACTAAATTTGGACTTGGCTACTAGTTTTTGGATGTTATTGTAAGTTATTTCGTAAGTTATTTGTCCACATTTGGCTTCAGTGTCCTACTGACTAATTTAATGCATACAAACAATTTGTTATTATTAAACCACATTGAGGTTCGTTTGACAAACGATGGCACAACTGAACTTAACAGTGGACTGTTTTGGCCATTTAATATTTATTTCACGGTCCCTTGAGCCAGTTTGTAATATTTCCGTCTTATTGATTTTTTTTAGCACGTTGTAGGTACAGCATGCTCATTAATACGTTACTTGTACGCACTGTCGAAGTTGGCTGTTATCTCTTCTTACGTGTATTTTTCCATCTGACCCGCCACTACTCGCAGGCAGACAGTGCTGTGCTTCCAGCTCTGCGAAAGGGTGAATCAATTTAAGAGAGAGAGAGAGAGAGAGAGAGAGAGAGAGAGAGAGAGAGAGAGAGAGAGAGAGAGAGAGAGTTGAACAGGGAGAGAGCTTGGGAGACGGAGAAAGACAGGCTAGAGGAGACATCGACTCCGCACCAGAGCTTTTGAAGGATATATTTAAATTAAAAGCAAAGGGAAAAGCGACTAGGTAAGCCTGAATAGATATATGTATATACACTACTTGAGAAACAAACCTTTTGTACGCATGTTCGCTAGTCTTAGAAATTTGTGCGCAATACCCTCGTAAACAGCTGCGTTTAAATGCATTTTTTTGTATTTCTATAGTTTGTCAGTTGTATTTATGGCCATAACAGGAAAAACCTTGTTTGCTATGTAAATGTGTGCAAAAGAATTAATGCGGCAGTATGTGTATGTATCTGTGTATGTGTCCAGTTGCGCGCGAGTGCGCTCACGCGTGTGTGTCCGGGCGTCGATGTACGCTAATGAATTTGTGCTGTCGAGACACCTTTTACCAATATTTAGTGACCTAGAGTCATAAATTATTAAGGGATTACTTTAGGATATAGGACTACTGATTACAAGACGGAGGATGCGAGGTAATTCCTTTTAAACACCTTGCCTTCTAAAACTAGTCTGCAAATAGACCGCAGCGTCTGTTATTTTATTCAGTGCTGGGAATCTCTGCAACAATTCTAGACTTTTCTACACAACAGCACGTAAATATCGGCCGGTCAATGCGTATTCGTCGGAGTGTTAAAGGATGCTCACCAAATGCGCATTTTCTTTAGTTTACTTGTCACGCAGTTTTTTGGTTTACCAATAACCAGTGTGACAACTAAATCTGTTGCCTTCAAACTTTGGATCAGACTTAGGTTTGCGGATGGCGATTGATGTTTCACTTTGCAAGACGCATTGCCCAAATATTAAGGTATAAATACTGTGTGGCCTGTGATAAATCACTAAAGCGCGCGAGCGGCTTGTTTGCGTGAGCTCCACCGCTCGCGAACAAGAAACAAACAGATTAAGTGCAATGAATGAAGATCAGCTGCTGTTATCGCTGACACGTGAAACGACGTGGTTTAAATCGTGATGTGTTGTTTGCGGTGCTTCATTTAAAAGAGAATTAACCCATGGAAATGTGCGTGCGTGTGTGTGTTACATGAGTGGTGATGACTTGGGCATCTGTTGCTGAAGGAACAGGGTGCAATTCTTCACACTGGTTTCTCATGCTGCATCCTATTTATGGAACGAACAAAGCTCTGCCTCATGACTGCGTGCTGTTGAGTAGTAATTGTAGATGCTGTCGATAAGATATGTCGTTGCTTTGTTTTGTCACGGGTACATTTGTATGCTAAGTTTGAAGTTTACGATGGGTGATCAGACTCTGAATTTGAGGCATGCTGTAAAAAAAGAAGTGAACGATTGAAGCTTTTTTAGAAGGCTTCAGGGGAGTGCATATAAAAGAACAGAAATGTGCTTTCATTATCATATAGGTTCCCTTGGCAACATAAGCCTTGACACATCACATAAATAAAACTATTTGAACGCAAGCTTTGAGGGAGACATTTCACATTGAAGCCAGGTATCGCTGGGCCAAAATGGCTGCAATCAGAATCATGACAGACGTTTGTTGGTAAACAAGTTGTGTTTCTGCTTGTCAAGTACTTTAAGATTTATTTTGTATGATTTCTTGGAACTGTTTAGAGCTGGAATAATTGTTGATTGATGGAAAAGAGAGTCTTAGTCACCATTTACTTTTATTGAAATAAACCGGGCCTGTCATTCCCTAACATTTTGTTAGATAAAAAAAAAAAAAAAAAAAACTTGTGAAAGTTATACAGCGTTTGAGCAGCACAAGGCCAAGTAAGTGATGACATTGCTTTGATTCTTGGGTGAACTACCCCTTTAAACTCTAGAGTCACCCAGGGCTGTATTCATAAAAACCATCCACCATGTTGGAATTAACGCACGTTAATAACTCTCTAATGCCTCTTGAATGGTTTGAAGTGAGCCATTTACCTGCTGTGGATTTTCCAATGGCTTCTCTTAACATGCTGGTGTTAAATTTAAAAGTGACATGAAGTTTTATGAATAATCATTTGAATGTCTTTGTTCACGCTCCAATCCTCTCCGTGACAGCCTGTGCAATGTATCGCATGTGAAGTTATAACTGATAAATGATACCTAATGTTTTCTTTTTTACATCAGCTTCAAGCTTCTCTTGCTAAAAGGCCTTTTAAAATCATGCCTTTTATGTGAGCGTGCTAGTCGACCTTTGATGCCTCACCATACTTTTACGTTTCATGTGCCTTTTTTTAAACGTATGAAGGGGCTTTTAACTTCAGTGGGTCAAAAGGTGACAGACATCAGTCGTCAGAGAGGGAAAGGCGTATGTAGACGTGCTTTAGGGAGCAGTTCACAGAGAGCATTACACCCTCAACCCTTCTGCTCCAATCAGACCCTTCAGGGCTGCAACTCAGCAAGTTGCTCTTGAGCGCCTGCGGCAGATCTAAATCTAAATAATTAGATAATGATTAAAAGGTGGTTTAGAGACACGCAGAAAACGAGGCGATGAAAGTTGGTTGACATCAAGGAAAAACAAGAAGCAGCTGCAGAACAAAACCATCCGCTTTAGTGGGATTAGATTATGTGCATGTGGAGAGCAAGGTGCCGTTGCATAGTGTTGCATGATAACTTTGTTCATGTTACAGCCTTGATCATCTTTTAAAGGGATAAACTGCCAGAAACCTTTTTCTTTATTTTTTGTTGTTGTTGTTTTAGGTTGAACAACAAACTTTTTTTGTTTAGAACCCAATAGATCTTTTATTTATTTGAAGAAACATTTCAAGTTAGGTGTAATATTAATACCAGGTTAAGAATATACTGTAACATTAGAATTTGCCCTCTCCTGTGGTTTGTAATGTAATGGGCAGCACACATGTCTTGATACCTCAGGCTGTTGATGTTGCCATTGACTCTGCTGATCTCTTGTATGCCCCCATACTTAATGTAACCCCAAACCATGATTCTTCCTTCACCAAACTTGACTGACTTCTTTGACAATCTTGGGTCCATGCTGGTTCCAATAGGTCAGTATTTGAGATGATTTGGATGAAGTTCAACAGATGATTCATCAGAAAAATCTACCTTCTGCCACTTTTCCAAACAATCAACTAGAAGTCAAGTTATTATTTGATTTTACCACTGGTATCGACGACAAGACTTTTGTCAGTTAGTACTGTACATACACAAAAAAAAATATCTGTTTATTATTGTATTTTGTGTATTCCATTTATTTAAGATTGTAAAAAAGGGCATTACTGTATGTTGATCTCTGCTCTGTTGACTTTCGATGTTGAATATTCAACTCTACAGCTTAACAATAGGACTTTTATTTACATTTTAGTCGTTTAAAAAAATATAATGTATAAGAAATAATATATAGAGAAATAAGTTTGTAAAGTAAGAGAAAATGTACTTGCAGTTTATTACAAGGTTTTTACTACATAATTTACAAGACCATCCCAGAAAATATATTACTTTAAACTATTAAGAATGTTCATAAAATTAAGTTTAAAAAATGTCGGAAGAAAGATCAAGGTCTTTGAATGTGATTCAAAAGCATTTAAAAAAATATGAAAATCACAAAAAGATGAATCACATAGTATGGAAAACTAATTCTTTATTATTTTTTTTTTTATTGTATGCCAAAATATTAACATCAAAATTTAAAAATGCGTTACAGAGTGTCTTCAAAATGGAGTGTAACAAAGAAATTAATATAGAAAAACAAACAAATAACTGTTAATTTACGGATAATTTTTACAGTGTAGCGTTGTATAGTATAATTTTGATTAACATAAATCGCTTAACTTTTTCTTAGGAAAAATTCCTGGTTTACTATTAACTGTTCATAACGGAAGTAAACAAGGGATGATCTGTTACAAGATTTTATAAGGACTGTAAATATGATGATTTAAACAGATTTGCAGCTCGTAAGTCATGCAAGTACTTTTATATACTTATAAGTATATAAAGTAAGCTAGTAAGCTATACATTTCTTTTAAATCTATAAAACATTTTAATTATATTGTTTTTCACAATAACCTTGATTTTTGACTTTTATTGAGCTTGAAAAATTCAGTTAATATAGCAATCATTCTTATCCCTACAGGATCTGCATGTCCAGGGAGAAAACCTCAATTTGGAATGTTTAATTATATATTTATTTCGCTTCACCCTTGTTCACCTCTATTTCCATTAAGAAAAATCAATGATGGATGTGTACAGTAATGCATTAATTAAACCGGAACGCTCTTTAATTATTAGAGTCATAAATCTGTCTTGTTTACTCCTAGACAATGAGAATGATAAGCAGAAACACACACTCACACATGGGACATGGTTCAGCACACCTGCACACCTGTCTCTCAGCAAGAAATTTAGATGACTCACTGAATGTTCACACTAACACACCACTGGGTTAACTCCCTCACAGGCTTCTTCTTTTACATACCAGTGTTCACATTACTCCAAGTCTGTTTTTTTAAAGCCCAACAATAAAAGGCCTTTTCTAACTCAGAAAAGGCGTAGGAGGGTTTTGTAGCATGTTGGATGATGTTAGCCATTCGCTAGTCTTTGGTGTTTTTGTGCCATGGGATCTGGAGCTAAAATTTGGCTGATGACATGCAGAGAAATTGTGCAGTATGATATTACCAATTGTAAGACTCCATCTCCGTCCGTATACAGTGGGTTTGACTAAAGCAGTCATTGTTGAAAGACTGCGAGCTTTGACAAACCTTTGTTTGAAGCCAAAAAAAAAATATCCGCCGAATCTTGGTTTTTATTTTCCATAAGCCATTACATTGCCGGACGATTTCCCCTGGAGATAACGACATAGGCACCACTTAGGCTGCACTGACCGTATTTGTAGTCTGCATTCAAGGCCGTATAATACTATGCGAGAGCAGGGTGTTTAATGCATCTTGCAACGTGTTACGTCTACTGCCTGACTGAATTATGACATTGAGCAAAGTTATAAAAGTGTAATGAATAAGTCTGAAGCGATGTCTAGGGACAACAGTTACACCATCATGGCAAGTGCGAGACACTTCTGTCTTATTTTAATGCACCACACATAAAATATAAATTCCCCTTGTTTAAGAGAAAGAGAAGGATGACCATTCT